GCAGATAAATATTTACACAGATACATTTAAATATGCAAAGTTATACACTTCTAAACGGGTAGCATTCCTGTGCTTATTAGGCTCAATTAGAAAGTATTAGCGGGGTGAGGTTTTTATTAGTTTTGTTTTTAAAATTTGTAATTCTAACTATAAGTGCTTATACATAGAGGCTGGTTTTAATATTCCTGTGTTATTCATGTGGAATTTTCATCATGAATAAGTACACTGCTGCAGTACATTTTTCCTGGGCAGTGGTACAAACCATTACAATGAAGACAGCAGGCAAACAATTACAGCAATTTTGAAACAGCATCAGAAGTAGGTCCTCAAAGTTTATATTTTCCCAAGCTACAGCAACACATCAAGATTTTTTTCTTACTAGAAGATAGAAATTATTCACTGATCTCAGGGTTTTTTTATGAAACACAGAGAAAGGAAATAAACTTCCATTTGTGTCAGAAACTGCATCAGCTAGAGTTTACCCTCAGTGAGTGTAACTCTGGCTGCTCAAGTGCAAGCAATGGCAGAAATTTTCTCTCTGCTATTGCAGATAACTCAAACTTTAGTTTCGAGGTCACCTTTCCAACTAAAACTTTGGAAAGATGAGGCAGGATGTCAGTTATTGAACTTAAGGCATCATTACTCTAAATCAGTGATTTGCAGCACAAGCAAAGCATAAATTTAAAGATGTATTGCAAAGCATTAATGGTTAATCAATTCACTTACATAATTTTTCCCTTTCTTAGATGCCATAAGCTGAGTACCTTGAGAGCTGAGGGCTCCCAAGGTACTGCTGCCATGCAGGGTGCAAGGGTGGGCAGTGAGTCCCACAGAAACCTTACTCCTGCCAACTGTCTGCACTGGGTGTGTTCAAATCTCCCTATGCATTCACTGGGTGAGTGATGATAGAATTTGTTATTTCCTCACAGGTGGAAAGATTCTTCTTTTGTCTGGACTAGATTTCACAGGTTTGTATGTGTTGAGATCAGAGGGACTGGATGTTGACAATACAAACTTAGTTAATACATTTCATCCAGACAAACTATGAAATGCTATTACTGTATTTAATCAAGAATGTGTGTTTCTGTCCTAGGGTGCATCACATAACTGATGTTTGTTGCCTAGAACCCTAAATATATATTTGGGTTCCTAAATAGTTGTGGGGTTTCTTTAAATCAGTGGAGTTCATGGGTCTTTTTTTATTCACTGTGTGGTAATACTGTTAGTAAGCAAAACACTTTCATTAGAACAAATGCTTTTTTTAAGCCTCAACTTATTCTTGTTTCTGCCTGTACCAGAATTAAATAATAAGCAAAACAAAGTAGGAAAGCTGCAGAGATTCCCTAATGTGGCTTCCAGCACTTTTAATCATGATATGTTGGTGTCACTGGACCAGCACTTTTAATCATGATATGTTGGTGTCACTGGATTTCTGTTACACCGGGGAGTACTGAATATGAATTCACTTGATTAACCACATTCAAACTGAGCCTACAGGAACAGGCTCTGTACTTAATATTGCTATCTACAGGACAGAATTATAACCATCAGAGATGGTTATATTGGTTAATTATAACCATCAGTTGCACCTCTCAATTAAATAAAAGTGTGTACATACACATGCAGGTACCAAGACTCCAACCCACACGTGCTCTCCCACTAAGATCTGTGAGACCAGCATTTATGAGAAAATAGACTCCAAGTTCAGCAGGCTCAGTTGGTCTCTAATGAAACATGTTCTTGACCTGGAAAAGTGGGATTGGGGATGTCGGTGTCTACACACTTGTTAAAGCAGTGAAATGAGGAATTTGGCTCATAGTTCACTGAAAAGGCATTGGCAAGGTTAAAGCAAAACATAAGTAAAATCTTGTTTGCTGGCCCCCCCTTGTTTAGCATTTAAATGATACTGTCAGGAGTTTTGAATAGAGCACTTCAGTCTGTTCCTGAAAAGCATCACTGGCAAAAAAAATAATTTTCAGTAGAACTCAAGACTGAGGGGAAAAATACTGTATAAATCAGTTAATAAGTTGATCCACAGGCAGCCAAACTGCGGAGGACTCATTTCCTATGGATTTGTGTCTCTTCTGCCTCACTGTCTGCTTTCCAGCTCTCCCCTACCGTCAGCCCTCTGTGTCCTTCATGCCTTGAGCGCCTGGCAGGGAGGACTGCGCTCATGGCCAGGGCAGCACGGCTGTGTGTGCAGCCATCGGCTGTCCCCATTTCGCATGAGCTTTTAAGGACTTGACACTCAAAGAGGACTCTGCCCTTTTGTAAAATGGAGTTAAAACTGGGGGGAGAGAGCAAACAGATGATAAGCAAACATTTGTATGACACAATTATGTTGTAACCTCATTTCCCTGAGGAACTTTTGAGTGGTCAGTATTTTTGGAGATTGGATATTTTGCTTATTTTTAAAAACAAGTAAAAAGATGCATAGAAACAATCACAGATGTGGCATCATGCTTTCTCTGAGCAAATACCCAGAAAGACTTTCCAGACTGCAATACTCAGCCACATACATATCCTAACCCTGCTGCCTATACACCTAGGGTTAAGCTGTACCCCAGCGATTGAGAACCTGCAGTGCTGAAGCCCTAGAGCAAACAAGCCTGTCCCCCTTGCATAGTAGTCTCCAGGATTGCTACATTTATACCATCTAGTCATGTTAATATTTGGGAGAGAATTTAAAATTGAAGCAATGACTCCTACTTGACAAAACAAAAGAATACCAGTTTCTCCTTTAGAACAATGCTGGTAGTGCCAGTAGGATTGCAACACGTTAATTTACTTCATCATTTCTGAGCTGGGGGGGTTTCTCTTTGATAATATATGTCATATTTTTTCTATAATGACCAATTAAAATTATAGGACTAACTCAGTGCAGCCATGATACCCTCAGTACCCTGCAGCATAGTTGTCAGAGCAAGTACACACTTTTCTTTTTCTTTACTCTGTTTTACTTGTTTGCTTGTCACTTCAGTTTGCTCATGAGTGTTTGCCTTGAGCAGTTCCCACCCAGAAAGAATGCTAGGGCTGGGTCATAAATAAGGGACAAAGATAGTATCAACATAGATAACAATGAGGGGGTTTGTATGTGCCTTTTAAGAAAGAAATGTTGAAAAAAATTGTGTCATTTGAAATTTTTTAGCTTTTATTAAACAAAAAAAGTTGCATTTCTATTGAAATCAAGTAAACTATAAGTAGGGTGGGTTTGTTTTTTTTTTTTCTCAGTTCTGATATTTACAAATGTGTAACTGAAAAGAATGATTTTCCCTGACATTAAAATATTAAATCATCATCAGAACCTGCCTCTGGACTCATAGGCAATAATGTATGTATCTCCTGTTCTCTATTTTACTTCTGTATCATACACATAATGTAAGAGCCATACTTTTTCCAAAGAATGTGCTAGTATTGTGTAGTTTGGACAAATTTACCTAATAAGTTACATGTGCAACAAGTCCTTGCTGGTTAGAGAGTTCTTGGTATTTCTTCTTTAATTTTTCCCTTTCCAATATACGCATCCTACAAAGCTTGAAACCTTTGAAAAAGACTAGATGTAACTTAATCACTTACTAATAACTTGGAAATATTTACCTGGACCTAAATTTTGTTCTTCCCTTTTTCTTTGTCATTTCTGGACCAAGAAAAGTATTTCTAGCAGTGGCAAAAATATTGGCATTGTCACACAGCACCCAGAAACCACAGAAAAGAGTAGTCAGTGCAAATGCTAAATGAAGCTTTTGGTCATATTGTGTGATCTCTGACTCTCACCAGAGTGAGTGAGGCTGAAATTCTCTCATGTTGTATCTCTGTGCTATAAGTTATGATATTGTCTGTTTGCTACAAAAGTTTTGATTTTATTATCTAACACTACTTTCTACGTGTCTTTTATGCTCATTGTCCCTCTAGTCATGTGAATTTTCGGCCCACCCAGCTTGACGGAGCTGAGAGCAGCTTTCTTCTGAGATACCTGGTACTTGCTGCCTTTGCTTCAGGATCCTAGAAATTCACAGGTCTTCTTGACTTCAAAGGTATGGGAGTTACTGCACGCAGATAAACCGTAGTTTTAGAGAAGAATAATCAACTGCTTACAAGAATATTTCAGATGGCTTGCCTGCAGTTCTATGTTATTATTTTGGTTTACTATTTCTAAATACTCTGTTATGGATCACCTCCTCCAAGCTATTTAGTTATCCTACAGACTAGACCTTTGTCCAGCTGTAAGGATACTTTGCATGAGTTTCATTAGGTTGTTGGAACACTGCTTGTTGGGAGTATATCACTGAGACTTAAGTGATACAGAGAGCCTAGCTAACTCAGAAAGGCTAAGGGTATCCACATTGTTATGGTCTGACACATAACTGTCCTAAGGAGTTAAATTTAACAAAAAGCTGAGAATCCCCATGTCTGAGTACTGCATCAATGTTCTTAGATTCCAAATCATCATAATTGCTTGTTTTTCCCAAAACCAAACACTCTTCTGACCTCTCTAATTTTCTGACATAAACTAGGAATCTTTTCATTATAACCAGAGTCAAGTATCAGTTCCAGAAAGCCATCGCTGTGCATTATAGGCACTTATGCACATTAGAAAACAAAACAAAACAAGCAGTCTACCACTCTCCAGGTTTAATGCTATGAAGGATTTTATGGGTGGTCCATAAGTGGACAGAATGTTACACTAATGTGTGACTGTATGGCAATTAAGCTTAATTAGGGAAGGTTTTAAAAAAGACAGATGAAAGTAAATTATGGGAATGAAAACAACTGTGCTTTTGGGGACCAGACTGTGCCACACTAGTTCAGCGAAGTGTTGCTAAAAATGTCCCCCTTCTGTTGCATTCTGACACACATCCAGCAGTTTGTCAAACCAAGCGTTTTTCTCTAGAAGGGGAAATCTCTTAGGAGCACATTCTTCACCCGGTCGTTGCTGAACTCACTGGTTTCTTCAGGAGACAGCTGTGCTTCCACAGTAAGAGCAGCAGCCGATGACCCTTAATACTTGGCCATCCGGTTTAGTTTAGCATTACCTCTTCTCTACATGGAGTAACAATGGTAATGATGAATGTGGATTTTCATGTGTGCTCTGGGGAATTTTTCTACAATTTCATATTTTTAGTGCTTTCTCAGATTTACAACTGAGCACCCCATATGGAACATCTGATTCTGGTTGCAGTGATTTTCCCTGGTGAGAAGACCTCAGTAAGCAGACCTGGAGCAGTTCCCAAGCTTTCACGCTGCATGGTTTGAGGGTATTCCTTCAAACAGGCTCTTTCAGAGCAGAGAACTTCAGGGTTTCTGTGCTCAGAGACAGACTTTTTCAAAGCTAGGAGCCTATCCCTTCTTCAAGAAAATATTAAAGGAAACAAAATTTAATATGCTGAAATCCTCAATGGAACAGAATTGTTTTTTTCTGCTCTGGACTAGGTGGTTGTTACTGCAGGCACCATTATAGTATGCTATATTATATTGGATATTATTAAATTATGGAAAATAATTAAGCAGAAAGATGAGGGGGGAGTAGAATGCTACAGATTTTTTTTTTTTTTTTTTTTTTTTTTTTTTTTTTTTTTTTTTTTTTTTTTTTTTTTTTTTTTTTTTTTTTTTTTTAGCTTGGATGGTGTCTGGCATTGCTTTCCACCAGGACACTGGGATGCTTTTTTTCCTTAATGAACTTTTTACATCCAAGATGAAATACTGATTCTGTGGACAATTTATTGAGAAAAGCATCAGTTTCATGAGAGTTTTCAGTCCAACAGGGAATTTATAAGTGGAAATCATATATGGGTATAGGGAAACACCTCATAAAAAGAATGACTACATGGTCAGCAGCATTAATTTATGTTCATTCTCTTTTAATAAAAAAATATGTGTTCAGACCAATCTTCTATTTTTTTTATTGCAGCTCAGCAAGGTACCCTCGACTGTAGTTGTTTAACCTTTTCACTTTCTTTGGTTCGTTTATGGAAAAAAGCAAGCTAAAACCAGCACTTTATGTTTTCACATATGAAGTTTATTCATATGCAAAAGGTGCGATAAGGATGCCTTTCTCCACTGAAGGAAGCTGACATAAGCATTGATACAAACATCACACATAAAAGAGTGTTAAAATGAAAATAGAGAGACAAGAGGATGCTAAATAGAAAAAAGAAGCTAGATCTGGGTCTTGATGGCTGGCCATGAACTGCTGTGCACAGGTAATCCAAATGTATGTCCTAATGCCTAAGTTCTCGATGTTAAGGTATATGTTCACCTGCACATAGACAGATACAAAATTTGCAGATGAGTTATGTGCCACAGATTTTCCGCTGTCAAATTAAAAATTATATTCCTAGCAAGAATGCTCTAATGAAACCTCTAGATGGGATCTCATATTTCGCACCAAGTGCTGTTTCTGAAGAGAGATCCCCTTAGCTGGGGATCAGATCCCCCAGCTTACTCAGATCCCCTACTTGCTTCCACCTCTGTAACTGGGAAGTGAAGGCACAGCTGAAGATTTGCTGGTGTGTGACATAATAAGAAACTCCAGGATATGACTGGATCTGTGGTAACATAACACTTGTGAGGGGAGCTGGCACAAAGCTCATTGGCAGAGTTGTCACAAGACATCCGCAGACTCATTCTGTAATGGTGATGATCAGATATTGGTGGAAGCCCGATGCAGTTATGAAGCAGCAGGTGAACAAGCTCCACTAAAAGCCCAAACCCAGCATTTATTACTTCCTGTTAAGTCACAGAAATATCACTCATCTGTCATTTTGATGATAACCACTCTCTTTTCATCTTCATCTGCCTAAATGCTCTGTCCCACATCTCTTTTGCACATGCTGTGAATGCCCCAGCTCCAGCAGGTTTCCCAAGATCTGCAGTATCCCTGCTGGCACCTTCAACAGCAGCCTCTTGGGAGTTCCTGGGACAGATTATGAAAGGAATTTTCTCAGCTGAATAAATTAGTAAGGGTAAAGGTCAGCTTTTGTTCAGTTAACGATAGGGAAAAATCACCTGGATTAGTACTGGCTTCTTAACAGGAACATACAGTGCACCAAGATTTGGCCTTCTATGATTTGGATACTTTCTAAATCATATTTTATGCCAGAATGCTGCAATGTCTCTTGTTGGAAGAGCTAGGGAAAAGCAAATTTTTACAGCTTGAGGAGACCTGTGACAGCAGCTGGAGCTATTCTCCTTACTCTTTCCCCACACTGCAAGCCTTCACAAAGCTTTAAAGCTGGAGGAAGTGAGGCTTCCAAAAGGGACCTGCCAAAAAAATACACTAACGAAGCAAACGGGTCGATCATTCCCAGTTTTCTAGGAGACATGTTTCTGTGTGTATGTAGTGTATTTCTGCAAGAAATGTTTCATATTTGTAGGTGAAGGAACTCAGACTTGCTGGTATTTTTGGATTCCTTTCTTAACTGCTCTCACTTCTTTTTCTCCCCACCTCCTTCCCTCTTTTGTGGCTTTCCTGTTTAAGTGGCCACAGCAAACCCCTGCTCAGGATTCAGGAGGAAACCTTTACCACCAGCCCAAGGTGAAACTCAGCGACAGCTTCTGAAATGCCTTGATCACACAGTCCCAGCACCCTGCCCTGCCAGCAGCAAGAGGAAACTCCAGTTTATGTTAATAAGGTGCAGAAAGTGGCCAAAGTATTTTGCGAATTTTCCAGCTCGAAAGGGTAATGAAGCTACCTCTGTCTCAGTACACTGGCACAGGAGCAAGGTAAACAACTGGGAAACATGTTTCAAAGGAGAAGTACAAACTCCCTGGGTTTCACACTTCCACTGAGGGCTGAGCTTTGCCTTTTTCTACCTCTTTTCCAGGCTGGCTGCACCCTTTTGCACAAAAAGAGGGAGGGATGGAGGAGGGCGAGCAGGCTTTTCTGTGGATTAGCTTCAGGCAGCTCTTGCCAGACCAAATGTTACACTGGAAAGCATTTCTTAGTTTATACCAAAACAATTAATTGTTTAATACGTTAAGTAAACCCAGAAAGTTATTCCCATAAGTTTGTTTTAAAATCTTTTTATTAGCTCTGAGCAAAAGAAACCTCCACACTTCTGCAAGCACAGTCAGATTCTTTGGGCTTTTTTCAAAAAGCTCTCTCTTTTTGTCATTCCTCTCTGACCTCCTCCCTGCTTGTCCCGGGATGAAAAGGAAGCCAAAGATCTGCTGAGAAATGGGCCGAGTCACTGCTGACCTTTGCAAATCCAATTTCTTCAAAGCGAGAGCTAATCGACGTGTTCCCACGCTGTGTATTGCTGAAACTTACGATGCAATTCGAGGAATGAATTCACCATGGTGCAATCTCATTTTGAATCCAGTTTTCTTGCAATGTGTCAGAGGGTGAAGGAGACAGAGTGTGGTAGAAGTTATGCAGAGCAGTCACACACAAGTTTCACGAATCAAGTCTGTCTTTGAAAGATTTTACACTTTGGAGGGGCTCTTTCTCCTAAAATTTAAAATACATTGGCCTTCCCCCCACCCCCTTCTACGTTCCTCCCCCTCAAAAACAGAGAGACGTTTTGTAGTGATTTAAAATAAAAGTAAGCTGATGAGAGTTTGTAATAAATAATCTCTAAATAGAAAAAAATAAAAATAAGTCTCTGAGGGTTTTATCTGATGTGTAGCCAAGGTGCCCGGTGGGAGAATTTTGGTTACAGGAACTGCAGATTAATGGGATTGTGCTGGAGGGAGATCTTTAAAATTCATATTTAAAATTCATATCCTCTCACTTTGCATATCTGCTCTGGTATGAGTGCTATTATGATTTCATAGGAGTCAGTGCAAAACTCTGTGCAAGTTTTGCACTCTCTGTTAGGTACTGCAGCTGTGCCTGCAGGATCCACGCAGGAAGAGTGTATTGGCATTCTCAACCTAAATCTTATAATCTTATTTCAACAGGTGCCTGGAGACTGGCCCTCTCTGTTTTCCAGAAGGAGCTGCTGTTTGTTTCCCGCGCTGCTGACCAAGCCCTGCCTGAGCCCAGCATTGGGCAGCCCAAGAGACCCAGTGGGAGCAGAGGCAATGCACCACAACCTACTGATGTGCCCCAAGTGGGGCATGTTTGTGTAATGCTGCAACTTTTTGTCTGGGGCAAAAGGGACAGAAGAGGACTCTCATTCCTCATTTAACTACTGTGGGGCATATGTCATGGGTAGCAACACGCCTCAAGCGCTTTCATCAGCACCAAAGAGGGCAGTTATGTCATTCCCAGCATAGGGTTGTGCTTGGTGTGCCTCTCTAGGGAGGACAGCTCTCCATCTCAGAAGCCCTGGCATGGCAGGTAGCAGTCAGGCTACTCCACATTTGGTGCCTTACCCCAGACCTCACAGCCTATGGTGTATCTGGCCAGTTTGGTCATACAGTAGAACTAGAGATATTGCAATGTACTTATTTTGTTCATTACCGTCTTCATTGCGCAAGCACGATTCTATTAGGGCTGATGTAATGGAGAATTGAGTCCTTGGGCTAATGGGCTAAGCTGTGCCCTGGCTGTAAACTGATGGCTTCCAGAGGAAGCCTCAATGTTCTAATTTTGTAGTTGTCCTTAACAAAGCAAATGAAAATATATCATTGTTCTCAAAATTGCTGAATGGAGCAAGTCCTTTTTTAAATTTGATTTCCATAGCCATGAATAGTAAATTTCCTCCATTCATAACTGGTTTATAAAAGAGTTTGCTAACTAACCAGATCTGAAGAACTTTCTTTCTAAGCAAGTATTGCAGTAAGAGAATTGCTTGTGTTTTTATTACTTTCTCAATATTTTTGTTATCCTCTTTCCCAAGACATGATTAGATTTTCCAGTCTTCTGGACATCAAAGATTTTGGAGAAGAGATTGTATGAACTGGATAGGTAACAGCTGTTACCACATGGATTTACTGGTGGAAAGGGGAGAGGGCTAATTTGTTTTATGTGTTTCCTCCCACTGCTGGCACCTTTCACTGTGGCACACTGTTCCTGTCCTGTGACAGGGAGTGTCTTTGCACAGAGGGAGCCCTTGTCCACAGGATTACACTTAATTTTGGTTTTTGCTGTTGTTTGTAAGAGACTTTTCCAACTTCCTTCATCATCTAGCTCTTTTACCTGGTTTACCAGTAGCTTATTAGAGAGAAAAGAATGGGGAAGCAGCTCTAATTTTTTTTAGAAAATAACACTGATTGACAAATTTTTACTTCTGATCTTTTCAAGCCAGAGTTTTATTTGCTCTGCATCTGGATATCTGATGACACTTTAGGTTGGATTTATTTCTGTAAAATAAATGAATTCTTCAAGAAAGGTCACAGTACTAAAGGAGAGTTTCAGCTTGAATGAGCTGTGTCATCTCTGCTACACCCTTTCATTCAACATGGGAATGAACATTTGCATGAATCCTCTTTATTTCCTCTTCTACTGTAAAATTCCTTGTGCTCCTCTTCTAGATTACTCATTGTTTAGGAAAGGTCTTGGAGGGGAAATGGTGATTTGTAGTATTGCAAAGTACTAGCTGGTAAAACAGATTGTGTGTGTGTAGAACAAGATTTTTGTGTATTGCTATACCAAGAATATCTGATCCCATTGAGATAACAGTAAAGCATCCTACAGCTTTGACCAGATTCAAAGAAACTCACACTGTTTGTTCTTTTCTTTCTTATTTTAGTGTTTCATCTACTTGCTTTGACATTTCTGTGTTGTGTTCTTAAGTCCCTACCCTCATGTTCTTTAAGCTTCAGCAAAAGAGAGCACTTTCAGCACTATACATTGTCTGCAAAAATGTCCCGTGTCCTACAAATATTTTAATACATTCAATTAGTTCTAAAAATTCAAGAGGGACTGGCATCTTCTCAATCTAATCTAGTCACCTTCCTTCTAAGGTAGCCTAGATTAATACTTTTGATCCTTTCCTGCTCTGAGCAGGTTCAGAATCCATTACCATTGCAGAAAAGGAGACTCTGGCTTCACCCAGTCTGGGAGGAGCCTTGGATCATAGCAAAAATGCTCCAACTCTCACAGAGTATAACCATCTTCTGCAAGCTGACCTGGGGGCACTGGGCACCACATCTGGGGGAGCATCATTGGAGCAGATAATTCGGATCAATGGCTGCTGGGCTGCTGTCCAGAAAATGAATCCTCAGATTCAGAGGAAGGACAGAGCAGAAGCCAAATCCAGAAAATCATCTCTAATGTAATTCTTTGTGCTTTAGGCCTCAATTAATTTCAAACTGCTTTCTTCTGTCTCTTTCATTCGCGCCCTGATCACTCCTTCATATAGTTAAAGCAAATGACCCCGAATAGTGAGGAAGTCCATTTGAAAGAGCAACTGGAGTGCAAACTTTTGTGCAAAGCCTGGAGTATTTCTTTCTGCACAACCAGTGGAGTAACGACAACAGCTCTGCCAGTTTCAAGGCAAAGTTTTCCACCTTCAGGGAACATTTAGACTGCAATACGGATCAAACTAAAAAGCCAAAGGCAAAAATGCAGCAGAGGCTCAAGGCTAGCTGGGCAGTTTGCTGCAGGAACGGGGAAGTAAGTTCCTTGATTTTTCTTTGAAGAAAACAAATTGCCATGTACAGTTCATACAAATAGGGATAGAAAGAGGTGTCTGATTAATACTGAAAGATACAGTGAAATCTAGACTGCAGTCCTTGTTATACACACAACCCTTTCCATATGCCAAGTTAGGACCCACACAGGTAAAGGAATGTTACTCTGGTATCCCTTGATTCCCAGGTTGGGTGGTAGCACATGTAGAATTAAGCACACTTAGTGGTTGTACACTGGCAAATGCTGGGGTAAAGATGTGTTAAACAGGACAGTCTCTTGCATCCAGAAGAGGGGATCTTGTTGGCAAGCCTAAGAATCAGCAGGAGCTTGTGTAAGTGGTCATACCAAATGGTTGTCAAGCTATGAAAGCAACAGGTAATTCAGTGCAGGCTTGTAGAGATAGTGTATGTCAAGATAAAGATATGTTTCATAGAATCATAGAATCACAGAATGTTTTGGGTTGGAAGATCATCAAGTTCCAATCTCCCCTGCTATGGGAAGAAGCACCTTCCACTAGACCAGGTTGCTCAAAGCCCCATCCAACCTGGCCTTGAACACTGCCAGGAAAGGGGCATGAAGTAATTTTTTTTTTGCTTCGCTCCACAAACTGTTTGCACAGGAGCTGAAGGACTTTTTTCAGCACTCTATTGATAGACACCGTTATCATTATTTTTACTACTTACTTATCGTATATTTCAGGCTCTGCAGTGACAGTGATAATGATTAAATAAAAACTGAAAAATCACTAGCTTGACTAAGTATTTGCCATAAAGGAGCATTTTTTTATGGTGACTTTAAAGTGTCATAGCAATGCTCTGAAGTGGTACAGAAACTGTGAAGTTTAATGTATATAGCAAAAGGGGATTAAAGCTATGACTCAAGGCCTCCACTGCAAACCCCACTACAATATTTTTCTTCTAACCTAATTGCATCTTCATAAAATTTGTTAAACTGCAGCTTGCAGAGGAAGTGTAAAGCACAGGGCAAATTAAAGTACAGTAACTC